AATGAAAGTTTAAAAGCTGATTGCAGTGTTCTTACAGTGAAATAAAACCCTCCTCAAATGGAAAAGATTTTAGAAATAATGCATGGAACTAAATGTTAAGCATAGAACACACTAAACTGGTTTTCAACTAATTGCAAATATTAAAAATTGTCTAAAATCAATTTTGTAAATATCAGTAATTAGTTTTTTCCTTGAATTCACTTACGACTATCAATTAATCACGACTATCAATACTTTCATAACCATAAAATTTGCTAATAAAGAAAATGATAAAAGAAACCAAATATTTTATTACAAAAAGTCTGCAAATGCTGTACAGTAATACCTCAACTTACACTACCCCGACTTACGTGAACCCGGAGTTATGCAATTTTCAAATCGCGTTGATTCGTCTTTTGTTTGAACGCCATGCAACTCTTGATTACTCACTTACCCCACACTATTGTTCAACTTACATGTTCGGACGTGTCGCGCGGAATCGACACATAGCTACAATTTATTTTGTGTTATTTATTTCTGTGTTTGTTATATCTATGGAGCCTTCAGAGACTCTATGTGGTGATTTCTTGTAACCGTGAACGAATCAAAAGAAGAGATAAGATTAACGAGAACATTTATTAGCTTACATACATCCGACTTGGATTTTACACGAATTGCGAGATAATACCCCGACTTACGCGAATTCGACTTACGCGGTTATTGCTCAGTCCCACCTATCGCGTAAGTTCGGGGTATCACTGTATTTGATATAGTGAATGCAAATTTCAAAATCTCGATGAAAATATACAACATTTACACATAAAGAATGATTCCAAAGTACATTAAAGATTAATCATCATAATAGGAACAATGCATAGATATAAGCAAATTTTAGAATTTCTTGAAAAATAGAAAATGAACTGATGATATATGAAATTTAGAATTGAAGATAAAAAGAGAATTGAAATAATCCATCAAATAGGTATTTTGTATGCAATTAAAACTGGAAGAAATCAAGAAATATTAATACCTTTAACAAAAACAAGAAAGATTTAAACTAATAAAATATACATTTGTGTATTGTATTAGATATGTCTGTACAAAAACATGCAGATTAAAATCAAATGTTATCAAGTGTCCATCAGTGGCCAAGCGGTCTTCGTACCCTGAACACTGGGAGTTCAGTTGTGGGTTCGTGCCTCGCTTGGACGAGCTGGCCACAGTCTTCCGGGTTTTCTCCACATCTGTAACGCCTTAATAGGGGCCAGTTTCCCTTAAAAAGACCTCCCGGAAGGCATTGCCCAAGTGTTGCATTGCCATAACTTAACCAACAACAACAACGTTATCAAGTTTTATATTACTTTTAAATTAAAAATTAATTCTGAATTGACCAAGAGATATGTGATATCACCACTTCATATTTTAATAATTTGAATTAAATATGTATTATCTATTAAAAATTTATTAATGATTTGAGAATATCTAGAAGATGCCATCAAATTATGTGATGATTCTAAATTATAGGTGTACAAATAGAACCCAAATTATTTGAGGTAATGTGGACTAATGCTATCCTGAATAACTGAAAATGTGGATAAAACATAAGCATGGCCATTTTGGATTAAAAATTATGAATATAACAGATTTATATGATATTAATTCTTTTTACTTCTATGTCCTTAATGTTTTACTATTTATTTTTATCTTGTCTATTTGATATAGTGAACCTTGTTTATAAATAGGACTTATACTGGTGTAGTTTCTGATTAGCAAAGAGTGGAAGTCTTAGTCAAAAAAGGTAGAACAAAATATCTTTATTTTCACTTGATTTACTGTATTTACTCGCGTATAAGATGAAATTTTCATTCATTTTTCACTGCTTCAAAAATCTAGGTCCTATATGCGCAAGCAAAGGATTCTTTGCATTTTTGCAATAATTTTTGTGAACCATGTATAGTTCATGCTGCCATTATAGGTCTGCAGTCTATCGTAAGTTGGCACTTACTGTAAACAAACTAAGATACAACTCCCTTTGTTTAATTGGTTTAATCCAGGGGTGTCCAACCCACGGCCCGCATGCGGCCCAAGGCAAGTTCCAATGCAGCCCAATAAACATGTAAACAAAACCAACAAATGTTTAAATTCTTTTATTATTTATTTATTTCAACGGCATAAACTCAAAAAATAAGTTTCACAAAGCCATAAACCTTTATTTATATTTTATTTTTGAGTGGAAAGGAAATATTTTCAAATACTTGGAGATGTGTGAATTAAGAAAGATTATTAAATAAACCTCAAGTTGTGACTCAAAGGATTATAGACCCAAATTTGGGGAAAGGACAGAAAGAGAGAAAGGACAGAAAAGAGAGAAAGGACAAAAGATAAAAAGTAGTGAGAAAGGTTAAATAGATCTTCTGTTATGCAAATATTGACCCTTAATTCTCCAACCTTTCTCACTTCTTTACCTTTTGTTCTTTCTCTCCTTTCCCCGCATTTTGGTCTATAATCCTTTGAATCCCAACTCCAGCTTTATTTAGTATTCATTCCAGCATTGCAAGATTTGGCTACTTTGTGCCAAATTTGGCTACTTTTTTTGTTTGCCGTAAAAAATATAATTTGGTGCTTTGGCTACTTTTTCGGCTACATATTATTTGTAAATATATTAGTCAAATAAAAATGCACTTTAAAATGGTGTTTCATCGCTTTTTATTAATTAAAGACCCAAATTAAACAAATATTTGTTTTTTTCAAATAAATTTTCGTTTGTCTCTTTTATAATAAATGAATTTATCTATTTCTAAGTAAACGTTGAAAGTGTCTGTAGAAGTAATTTTTTAAAATATTCTTTTTCGTGATAAAGTTCTAATATTTATTATTATAATCTAGACATATTAATCCTTAAATATACTTGTATATTGGGCCATAAGTATATATAGTTGTGGCCCAAAACTCCTTGACTTNTAAATGAATTTATCTATTTCTAAGTAAAAATTGAAAGTGTCTGTAGAAGTAATTTTTTAAAATATCCTTTCTCATGATAAAGTTCTAATACTTATTATTATAATCTAGACATGTTAATCCTTAAATATACTTGTATATTGGGCCATAAGTATATATAGTGGTGGCCCAAAACTCCTTGACCTCTTTCAATGCGGCCCAGAGAAACAAAAAGGTTGGACACCCCTGGTTTAATCCTATGTCCATCAATTAAAAACCGCATTCCAACTCATTTGTTTGCAGAAAATAGTTCCTCGTTATTTATAAAATCATTAATGAAATACAGGTCACTTAGCAATGATTATAAATGTAGTTATTTAATATTTGTTAAATTGTTATTGTTAATGAATATTACATTCTGAATCATTAAAAATAAACTTTTTCCAGTCATGCACATTATAATGTTTTGGTTTTGTTTTCCATTCATCATGTATTAAGGCAAATATGGTTGTTTGACTTAATACGTGCATTTCATTTATAATTAAACAAAATAAAATTAGAATTGTATTAATAAATCTAATTTTCTTTATTTTGATCTTTGAAGTCACACCTCGTCCTATATACGAGATTGTCTTATACCCGAGTAAATATAGTATATGATATATCACTTTTAGGCCTCTTTTTATACCTTAATGAATTTAACCATATATAAGAACATTTTTTATAATGTTTATTGCACAGATAATACACATACAATAGCTTTAAAAATAAAAATATACATTATTGTACTTCTATTTTAATATGAATCATATTGAAGTTAAATGATAAAAAGCAATGAAAAAACAAATAATTTTGTAATATATATATTACAAAATTATTTGTTGTTTCATTGCTTTTTATCATTTAACTTCAATATGATTTTCTACTTATCTTACACTGTAATTCATAAAAGGTTTAAAACAATATATATATATATAGTTTTAAACCTTTTATGAATTACAGTATAAGATAAGTAGCATATTCACTTACAGGTTTGTCTTGGATAGTGAAGAATGTCAGTTAATTATGGGGTTCTAATGTATGTATATATATATATATATATTGAAAAAGATTCACGGCTACACCTATTTGAAATTTAATAAGGATTTCTTACAATAGCATCTATATTTGCATATTGCATGGTAAGCGAAGGTTGCGGATTCAAGCCCCATCCCAGGCCAGTTCTTTCCCTCCATATGATTCTAAATTATTTAAATTATAATTATTATCTTAGATAAGATATGGTGCCGAATGTCTATCTCTAGTAGCAAATTACTTAGTATTAATTATTAAAAATAACAGATTTGTAGCCTGAGTATTTAAGGCAATCGTTTGGCTATACATCTATATTTCTTTGTGCACATAATTTTATTATCCAATATGAACTTCAGTCAAAAACTATCCAAATTGTGGACACTTAATGAGTGAAAGGTCACAAAATTGGTTTCTCGGATTAAAGAAATACATAAAATTAACCTGGTGGTCATATGAAATTTTCTTGATGATTTTATTTCAGAATCCTGATTGATCTATGAACAAAAAGTGAGCTTGGTATAGGAATAGCATATTTTGTACTATATTTGTTCAATTTTCAGAATTCAAATATAATTTACAATTCGATCTTCTCTGAATGTTTATAAAATTAATTAAGTATATTCTAATTATTAAAATATTTAGTAGTTGGTAACATCACTTACTTCTATACCATATATTTCAAATTCATTAAATTCTAGTTTAATTAAAATCCAACAAACAGATTTAGTTCTGTAATATATTCTAAAATAAACTATCTAATAAAAAAAAAGTTTCAAAACTTTTGTAAATCAATAGAAATACATACTTATTACATCTATATTGTTAAGTTTTACAAGAAGCTTAGAAAATTTCCTTTCCATTACCATATTTGCCCCAATTTCAAACTACAGAATGTAAAAATATCTCACAAAAATATTTAGATGTGAAGCTTTACCTTTGAAACTCTAGTTTGAAGTTTATTCCAAACAATTCTGATATTTTTTCAATTTCAAATCACTCACTTTTATTCACAAGACATAACACATAACAAAACTCACATAAAGCACAAAATTATATATAAATTTCTTAATTGAAATTGATAAAGAAACAAAAAATATTACCTGTTCAATCTCCTTTTGAATCATGTCAGGTTTTAACTTGCATTTCAAAAAGTTATCATTAGTTAATATTAAATATTAAAAAAAAAATAGTTCAATATAATATCAAACATGTTTCCTACAAAAAAAAAATGTTCGACTGTTATATGCAAACCCAAAAATTTTGTGCTTTGTTATAAAATGTTTTCAGTGGGAAACAATGTATGATAACAGAAATTAGTGAACTATCTTTTAAATTAAAAAACCCTATCAATCTTTCAACTGTTACTAAGCAACATAAATCAACATGCTAAGCTTTTTATACACTATTTAAAATATTAAATGCTTTAATTATGCTTGCGTACTTCCTTCATATTTGCAGGTGCTAATCGTCTGGCGTGCATGGAAACTCCACAGTCCCACATGACTAAATCAGGACTCTCTCTTCCATTCGAATCCTAGCATGTAAATAACTAGGAGTGTACTGAGCACGAGAACATGACTGAAGAATTTCCATTTAAAAATATTTTTTTTTTGATAAAATAAAAATATTTTACATACATTACTTACATTTTCTTGCATATTGTTAAATTCAAACCAATTTTATTTATTATTATTTAAATTTTTACAATTTTTAATATTCAGCACTTCCTTGTTACAGCTTAACGAGGTTAGTTTGTATAATTAATTTATATCTATCTATCCATTTTCCCTAAATATTATTTGAAATTCTCTATTATATTAAATATAATTTTCTGAATTTATAATTTTTTTTTTCAAATCTTTGTTATTATTATAAAATAAATCTTATGTAATAATGATACAATTATAATGAATAAATAAATAAATTTAATCTATACTATAAAAGTTATAAACAGTAAAAAATATATTTTTATGTTAGAAATTTTAATAACGAGTCATGTTTAAAATATGTCTAATCTTATTTTGCTTATTTATAATTTTATAAAATTTTATTAATGAATTATTTATGATAATGACTCATTTTATAAATTATTTTAGATGTTTTTTTAATATAAATTTCACTAAGTTAACTACCTTTTTAGTTTAAATAAATGTGATACAATTTTATAAATTTCTAAAAATAAAAAATAAAAATTCTGATAATGAATCCCATAATTCTCTTTTATAACTTATTATGAGTCATTCTAAGTATACTCTTGAATATTTATAAAACTCTTGTAATAATATGGGAGACGAATCATCTTGATGGAAAGTTAATAAATCTTTTCAAAACTCTTTTAAATATTATATTTATAAGATAAAAATGTATCCTTGCCGCTTCTTGTTCTTTGCCAAATACTATATTGAAGCTCTTAAATATCCTTCGGTTAAAGAATATTTTGGCAAAGAATCAAATGTTAAGGAATAAATACACAATATTTTCATTGTAAGTGCCAATAACATTATTTCTGTCAAATTTACCCAATATTTTAACATCAGTTGAAAAATAAAATCTAAGCAAAAGAAATTGGTAAATAAGACGTACATATAAACAAATTTAAATTTAAGAATGTATCCTATTAAATTGAAGAAGCTTGAAAATTGAAGACATTATCAAATCTGTGCAATCAAGACTGAAAATTTCACAAACAGAAAAAGATAATAGTTTATCATAAGAAATAGCCTGTCTGATATTTTAAAAACAGCAGTTCTTCAAAGTGTCTAAATTTATAGATGTACTGTATCTTTTCACATATGCAATCTTATAACTAGAATGTTTGTAGCATTTGATTAAAAAAAATATGAAAAAAATTTCAAAACAAAGAAACAAACTCGTGGAAAAGGATAAAAACTTATTACTAAATTTAAAAATCTGAATTTTTGTAAAATGTTTATACTTAAAATGTTGAAAATAGATTTTTAAAAATTCCATTATTTTTAAATTATTAAATATTTTATCATAATGTATAAATCATTCAATAGAAATAAACAATTTTAGAAACTGCCACTCTTAGAAATGATCATTTTTGACATACATTTTCAATAGAAAGTACTTTCTGTATTGTATTACATGACAAAATGTCCATTATTTGTAATCACAACTTTGAATTATCTTCATATTATGATATCCCTGAATAATTTACTTTTAACTATTCATCAATTATAAAATTATTTTAACTATGACAATCAGTTATGTCATGCCTTATACAAGTAATTATTATCATTAGAACAAACATAAATATATATATATATATATTTTTTATATCTGTAAAAAATGCTTACTTTCAGGTAGCAAACTGTTTAAATTTTTTATGAGGGAATGTTTTCATTCTGTTTTAGGACAGTTTCAGCTTCTTAACTTACACAAGTCATTGTTCTAACTGAATTCAAACGTTTTTAATGTATTGAACAATATTTTGAAACAATACATTCTCAAACTTTATATAATTTTTGACAGAATCCTTCAAATATAACAAACAAAAATTAATTCTGAAAAAATAAACCCACAGATTCAATTAACCCCACAAGCTTGAATAAACTCACTTTCCAAATGGATTTTAAAAAAGATATAAAATGGACCTATACAAGTGCAACAGTATACTTCAAATCAGATTATTTATTGAATTTGAAGTTTTGATTCATTTGATTAAGTTTGTTCTTTGCATAGAAAACTTGGAAAATATTCAATTCTAAGCAATAATATTTGTAGTATGTTTATATTTCATTTTCAGATTATATTTAGAATATCATAAGGCTCTTAAATAACTGATAGTTTAATGTTTAAGATCAATGGAAACATTAATACTAAAGTGACAATGCAAAGTAGCTCTACTGAAATATTTATATATTGTAACTTTACAAAGAAGCTGCAAGAACATTGTTTACCATTCTTTCAAAAAGTTCTATTTAGTCTTGAAAAGAATGCTAAATTTTAACTTAAATTATGGACTTTCCTATTGATAAAATTCAGTTATGTTTACATTTAATTACAAATAATACAATCAAAATTTTCTTCCTGTATATGAATTTAAAGTCAGAATCTTAAGCTCTATGAATCTTTACATTAAAATTATTTCAAAAAAATTTCATAAAATTTGAAATAAGCAAAATAACTGTGCATTTTGAATGAAATATCTGTTTAGCAAAACTTTTTAACCTGTCGCCTAATAAAGAAAATTGCATAGTTATAAATTTTATCTAATTTAACATAATTATTTGCCTACATAAAAAGAATATATGACAAAAAATTTTTCAATTTTTATAAATAACAAAAAGCATATAATGAGATTTAATTTTTTAAAAATTTGAGAATGAGTTTATGAAATTATTTAGCAAATTATTTTGTCCAAAATTTTGCAATATAAAATTTGTCAACAAATTTTATGATAGATGTCAAAGTTATATACAATAAACAAACATCTTCATTCAAATAAATTTCATAAATTATTATATAAGAATATGATAAAAGTAATAATATAAATAAAAAAAATTTAGTTTTGAATATAGAAGCTGCTTAGCATTTAAAAAAAAATATACATCTATTGGATTTTTAAATTAGAATATGTGGCAATTACAAAGAAATGTTCTACGTCTAAAAATTAAATTTATTACATAAATTAATGTTTTTATTTATTTATTTAGTATTTACTAATTTCAAACCACATATCACAATTAAAGGAAGTTTGAATTAATTTTATATTCTGTCAATCTGAAATATCATTTTTTTAGAAATACAAGATGTCTAAAAGCAATTATGCACTGCCATTTATAAATTATTTATTCATTTAATATACACTTCAAAATATGTTGGAAATAAAGCTCCACCAGCTGCTAACATATGTGCTACAGATAGAAATATATTGCAAACTGATGAAGTTCTATCTTTCTCAACATGATTTGTAGTGTATAATAAATATATAAAGGAGCAAATAAAGAATTATAAAATTTAGTACATCATTACTTTTAGGAAATTACATCAGGAATTATTAAATTTGGCAATGTATGACTTATATATTCATGCAAGTAAATGTAATGTTCCAATAAAACATATAATAAAATATTAAATAGCAGAATATTAAATTAAAAAAATATTCAATATAAAATAAAACTGAAATATTTTAAAAATTAAATTAAATACAACATTTTAATAAATTATCTAAAATAAATTATTTTACATTATTTTAAAGTATATTTTAATCTTGAAATTTCTAAATCTTAGTTAAAATTATCAAATTGCTGATCTAAAAAAATTATTAAATATTTAATTTATTGTAAAATTGCAATTATAACTAAATTTTCAGTATAAAAGCAAATGACATTTCAATTTTATAAATTTCAAATATTTTTGAATAGATTAATATGAAAATATTCCCATAATAAATTTAAGTACGTTTGCATGGCCCTCCATCGTCCTGGCTTTCCTCAAACGATTTTTGCTGATATCTAAATCTAATCGTTTATTTTCTAATATCTTCCGTTCTTTCTGAAAAAGTTTAAAGTTTCATTTAATTAGATTTTTTATCTGTTCAATCTTTTAATCTGTCAAAATTACAAATATATTATTAATTGTTCTCAAATTATTCTTAGTTTATTAAATAAATATTTTTCACTATTCTGTATTATTAAAGGATTGAAGCATTTTTAACAAAAAGAATAACTAAAATGCAAATTCCAATATAAAACAATATTTTTGATGGCATAAGGATTTTTTTTGGAATGTTTGAAAAGAAAAGAATTATTTGAAAGGAGAGAACAATTTTGAACAACATGAAAACAAGAAGAAATGAATGAGATTTAAAAACAAAGGGAAAAAGGACATTTAATTGCGAAATTTCTACAACATTATTTTATATATTTATTTTTTATTGTTTTTATTTGATTAGTACTAAACTCTTTCTTGACATGTGAAAGTAAATAAATTTAATTCAGTAGTCTGAACAAAATTATCCTTCTGATGAACTAACAATATATCTGCCTCTGCATCAAGCATTTTTGTCTGGATCTTTAATTATTCTTATAAGTTTACATCAATGTTTAGTTCAGGGGTGGCCAAAACGTGGCGGATGCGCCCAACTTGGCGCATTGGACGACTGGACAAGTGGACAAGTGGCGCTTCAGTCAGTTCTGAGCAACATTGCCAGATTTGGCTTCTTTGCAATTATGAATATGTATTACATAGAAAATTAATTTTTTATAGTCTGTCTTGACAAATTTATTTGTTGCACAATTCGTTGCAATTAACTTTACAGATAAAATGAGTGTTCTCCACATAGTAAATTACAGTGTATGCATGTTTATTTTCGATCAGTTTACAGGTGTCTAAATGACAGTGCTAACGTCTGGACAGTCCGGGAATCGAATTGGACTACTAACTTCTTTTCCCGAGTAGTTCCTGCAACACCTGTTGACCTTTTTTTTTGTTATTCTTTTGCCTGTACAATACACGATACATTCATGTTCATGTACACCACTAATATCGTATAGAACTATTTTATACGGGTAACTACACTACAACTGCATTTTTCATTGCTTGTTCTGTGGCAAAACTGAATTTTCGTCTTATAAATTGAAATACCTAATTAAGGGGTTGGCGAAATTTTTCTCCGCCCCAGGCGGCTAACACCCACGGTACGACACTGCGCATCTGAACTCGTCTATCAAAAAAATGGCGCATGGTATGCAAGGGGTTGGCCACCCCTGGTTTAGTTATTTTATAAAAACATTTTTGACATTTAAAATATTAATATTTTGTCATTTGATAATTTCTTTTATTAATCATTCAATAGTAATTATATTTATTTTTAAAACTTGATGATATACAACTAAACTGTCTATTTAAATATTGAATGTATTTAAATTTCATTCAATTATATATACAATCTTCATAATATTGGCTAAATTTTTTTCAGTTTATCTAAATTTTTATTAATCGTTAAACTAAAGCTATATCTCTATTAATAAATCAAAAATAATTTCATTTAGTAACTAATATGTGATAAGTTCTGTAAAATTTTTAAAAGAATGTTTTTAGCAATTGTAACATCACTAAAGAAATTGTTAAATATGTTATGCTATAAGATTGGCATATCTTAATTTGCAGTAAAGAAAGGATGTTTTAAATAAATCTGCTTTTATACAAAAAGAAATCCATCAAAGAAATAGCAGTTAATTCAGTAGATATACACACAGTTGCTATTTATAACATTGAAAAAATGATTGCCTATAACACATTACGATTCATAGATTCATACTGAATTAATTTATTTCTTTGTATGCATTCAAATTATTTATAGATATCAATTACTTTGATTACTGTAAAGATCATGAACATTTCTGATATTACAAAATTCAATAACAACACAAATTTTAATGCCGGATACTAATGTTTAAAGTAGAGCAATAAATTTTAGACATATGTTTTCACAAGAAACACAATGCATATCAATGCTCTAATTAAATTTTAATTATTAACTTAAAAATAATAATTATAACAATTCATTTTCAATAAATAGGTGAGATTAATTCATTATGGATAACAGATAATTCATAAAATCTCCTATATTTCATAATAGATATTTTATAAAATCTCAAATATTTCCAATATGAAAAGCTTTCATTTCTTAAAAAGAAACTACATTCAGATACTTGTTTTTAGCCTCTCCTCAATTCTCTATCTTTACTGCAAATAAATTATTCTGGAAATTTTCCATACAAAACAAATAATTCCATAACATATAAATTTATAATTATTCATCATAAGCAAAGATATCTTTCTCGTGTTAAATACAACAAAATATCTTAGAGATCAAGTTATTAATATCACTTAATTTTTCTTAAAATTAATAGTGAAAATTTATATTGTATTGTATTTATATTTTCTGTATTTTTATTGCAAAATGTTAATTGATTTCTGCGACAATTTCAGATTAAGAACCAAAGAAAGATAAGGAAGGTTAAAAAATTAAAGCTATTTTCTTTCTTATAAAATCCATGCAAATTGTCTGAATTTTTTAATGGATTTATTTAATGGTTCCTCTACTGATTAAAAAATATATAAGATTATTGTATTTCATAAACTAAAATATTTATATTATTTGTATTTAGAATGCACTCTATAACAAACTTTAATTCCTATAAATTTTAAAATATAACAATCATACCATTATGGTTTTCATATCGCCATCTAAAAATCGATGAAGTGGTTGAACAAAGTTAGTTACAGCTGCACGGATAAATTCTTGTTCAGCTTGACCCAGCCGAAGTTGAGTTTGGCCAACCTTAATCAAGGCACTACCTAAAAAAATGTATTAAAATTTAATATTCACATGTAGTTTGTTTTAAAAAAATCTTTATTTAAAATGAAATTTATTGAAATTTTACTCTCACCATATGCTGTTCCAGGACCTAAATCATTGCCAGAATCTATCATATCTTGGCCTAACAGTTCAGAATTTGTAAGTCTATCTCTCTTTTTATCAAGTTTTTCAAAGAGATAATCTTCAGCACGTTTATCTAATTTTAAATACACAATACAATACAATTTCAGTAAAAGTTAGACTCTCACTTTTAATTACACAAGAACAAAATTACAATTACATTCATGTAAATTCATTTTGATTATTTCATCATTAAGGAAAGTAAATCATTAATCAAATGCTTAATTGACTTTAAATAGTGTTACAGCTTATTAGTTATCTTTGTGTTTATTTTTACAATTTAATGAAAGTTTTATATTCATTAAATTGTACGTTATTTACCTTGCTATACAAATGTAGGAATGATACTTGAAGCATATTCCAATTTAACTAACTAGGTATATTTATATATTAGATTTTAATTTGAAAAATAAAATAAATAAAAATAAATAAAAAATAAAATTATTTTTAAAATGGTATGTATTATAAAAGAACACACTCTTAATCTAATTTTCTGGTACAGGATTAGAATACGATATTAACATCCTATTACATGTATTAATTTCATACACATAACAATTTCTAAATATTTCTACTAAAATTTAAATTAATAGACAACTATAGTAAATATATTTCATAATTAAATGGAATCTTACTTGGATTAGGCTGAAGAACTGCTTCTGTCCGAGATGCAATTCTCTCAGTCCATTGTTTAGTCCTATCTGAACGCTGAGCCAAGCCCTCAAAATGGGCATCAAGTTCTGTTTTTTCACATGTTCCAAGTTTCTCTTCTGTATACTAAAAAATCAAAATGTAACAGCATATTTTAATGAATTAATTTATAAGAATATAAATTCAGAAGCTATTTTAACTAGCATTAACATAGAAACAGCAAGTGATATTCCAAACTGTTGATAATGTTCATCAATTTTTAATTCAATATACAAAATTCATTTTACAATATAATAGCTATATATAGTATTATAAGTCTTTTTGAAAAATTTTAGTATCTGTCAAAGACACTGAATATCATTGAAACAATCAGTGATAACATAGACTGATGGATAATATTAGATGATCTTGAATAATTATCATTAATGATTGCATATTAAGTACAGTTTTAAGATTGGTTTCAGTTCCGTATATATTATAATTCAGAATAATCAGAATTTCTAGAAAAGGTATATACAATAGATAGCAAACATACAATAAAGGGTATAATAATCAACATATAACAACTTTCAGGCCATTACTGAGTCATAAAATATTGATATTGTCTCTCAAATGCTTGGTGAGGTACTAACATTCTACAAAACCTGATCTGCATCTATATCCACATCAAATTTTTAGACAATATTTGAAGATAAAATTATATTTTATAACATAAATGTAACAATGTCAGTTCATGTATAATAAAATAACTTCAAAATAAGTTTAATGCCTTTGCAAAAATTTATAAAAGTACAAATAATGAGCAATTATTTATTGTGACATTGTCACAATGCCAGGCTGCAATTTTTCGTCACAGTGCTCTCAATTTTATTAGTCTTGTCCCTGTACATCATGTGAAAAAAGGGGCAAGGCAAGACACTACTTTTAACATTGAAGTCATGATTGTCATCATCTAACTCCATTCATGAAAAATTTCTGAAATGAAATAACATAACTTCTGGTCCAAATTGCAAATTCATATGTAGTTGATCAAGCAGTGGCGTAGCGTGGGTGTCAGCCACCCAGGGTGGATAAAAATTTTGCCCCCCTTATTTAATTATCTCAATTTAAAAGACTAAAATTCAGTTTCGTCACAGAATAAGTAATGAAAAATTCCGTGCTCATTTCAATCGGTCCGAATTGTAGGTGCGACAAAAATATGAAATGAAATGGTTCAAATTTTTACAATATCTTATTATTATTATTTATTGTGAAATTTTGCTGCCCCTTAAAAGTGCTGCCCGGGGCAGGCCGCCCCTGCCACCCCACTATGCTACGCCACTGTAATCAAGTCCTCCTGCCCTATGCTTTCTATATCTGGTCTCAACTTTTATCTATCTAACTCCATTCTCAAGATTATGAAATATCAGATACTAGTGGGAATTTATAAGCTTGCATTTAATTGCATTTTTATAGTAAGAGTATCTAATTCATTATTATATATCTGAAAGTACCACAATAGAGAATAATTTCTAAAAGTATTATATTAAAAAAAAACCAAAATATAACTATGATATATTTTTTATATAAATGGAACAATACAACAATAATAATATCTAGAAGGCATTCTATAGTTAATTATGTATCTAATGTCATATTTTGAGAACAGATAAAACTGACAATTCACCTTTCTTTAAAAATAAGCAAGTTCAGACAAACAAAAATAAATTAAAACAGATTACTATTTAATTTTTCTACACTAAAATCTCTGCTAGCTGCTGCTTTTTATTCAAAAAAGAATTTTTATTCTGTTCAAACTTACTAATGTACAAAGAATTCTTTAGTAAAAAGTTAACAATGCTCATTTTTCTGTTCATTGAACTTTTTCAAGTTTTAACTTATTAGTAACCAAATATTCTGTTATGATGTTGCAAAGTTGCCTATTAATGTTGAAACTTTCCAACTTATATATTGGAAAGTTTCAACATTAATAGGCAACTTTGCAACATCATAACAGAATATTAATCAGAATATAAATCTGCTTCTTTTCCATACAGTTCAGATGTTATCCTATCCAAATTTCAATTTTTGACCTATGAATAATATTTCATAAATATAATGATTTATTAACAAAAGTAAAAAGGTGGAACCAATATACAATTCTGCATCCTATAAAAACTTTGTCTTTTCTAATATTTAAGTGGTAATATGGTATTTCTTTATAAAAAAAAAAAAAAAGGCATTGAATTAATGAACATATTTTAAAACAGGAAGGAATTAATACATTTATAGAAAAGGCATTCCAATTTTGGAATATCATTGATAACCTGACACAGACCTTGGTTAAGGTCAAAAATGTTCATCAGAAATTTTTTATATTAAAAAATTATTGTTACTGGAAGTTAAAGGTTTAGTTAAATGTTTTTATTAATTTGTTCCAGTAACGAGAAGAAGGTAATTTTATTCAGGGAATTAAATTGTAGAGAAATCATACATGGCTTTAATACAACTACCGTATACATTTTATTTAATTTCATTAAAATATAGTTTTTAAACTCAAATAAATTCAATAAATATATATTTATCTATTTACTTGAAACACATTTTCAATTTTGTAAATTTGATGAATCATTGAATCATATACTGTATACAATTTCAAATAAATTGGAAACTATCCATGCAAGTTATTATTCTCATTAGTAATCTTTACTAAAGCATTCTTTCTAAAATACTTTGAATTTATTATGCAATTCTAATGTCAAACCTATATTTCAGTATAATATTTTGCTATTCTATTGCTATATCTTTTAAGATAATTATAAGATTAAGTGGTAGAAGTTTTCTCTTGGAAGAAGCATAATTCTATATTATATGCAAAACTTAAAATATTGCCTAGTAAATATTTTTAACTTACAATTTAAAACACAGGTAAATATAAATAAATTTTAAGATTTTAACTGTAAATTACATTTTTTTATTTTTTAAAAAACTAGGAGTTTAATTATAATTAAAACTGCTATAAATCATTAAAATAATTTTACATGAAGACACTGACTCATTATGTAAAGGATAGCTAAACTAATTAATAATTTTTTCTTATAAAATTATAATTTAATTTTAGATAATTGTCTCAATTAATAAAAAGAGTAATATTTTCTTAATGTATTCATAATGATTATTAATAAATAATTATCTCTTTCAGTTTAAAATTTCTCTTCAAACTTCTTTATTAGAATAAAAATGCTCATTAAAATTCTGTTGCAAATATTTATAAGTTGAATAAATAATCTTAAAGACTAAAATTTCAGACAAACTTTAAACAGAAATTTTTAAAGTTTACAATAGGTATAATTTGAATCTATTATCATTACAAATCATTATTATGTTAATTAGTATATAATTAATAATAATATATTCATTAATTACTCCTAATTAATGAACTTGTATTCAATTGGATATTTATGAATATAATTCCATTCTTAAAATCTACAAGAAAAAAAGTCAATATGATAATTTCTCCCTTCTGATTTTCAGTCAAAAAGTCATATATAAATAATTTCAAAGCATTTCTTGGCTTCATTCTCATAAATTGAAAAGTTCAATTTAAAATTCTAAATTTTGTATCTGACTATATTCAGCTTTAATTTGAATTGCTGTAAAAATTTAAATTTTGGTAAGATAGTTTACAAAAGTAATCAAAATTCTAATTTTCTAACAGTACTTTAACACTGCTATTAGAAATTTAGATATACAGATTATATAGAGCTTACAGAGATTTTTAAAACATTTTAATTTGAAATAGTAAAATTTTTACTTATAAATACAGTCGACCCCCCTATAACACTGTTGATTATTCCGTTTTATATGAATTCCATGTTGTACGAGTCACTTAGATTTTACAAATACGTGTGACGGGCTGTGAACGGCATACGTATTTGTAAAATCTAAGTGGCTCGTACAACACAGAATTCATATAAAATGGAATAATCAACAGTGTTATAGGGGGGGTTGACTGTAATTTAGGTATCTCAGTTTGCATTATTTTTTCAAGACAATACTTATGATTGAAAAATAATTTGATTATCTTAAATTGTATTTTAAGAATTTAGGTAAACAATTTGTAAATTTTTAATAAATAACTTCAAAACATTTTTTTTGAGTTTATTTTAAAAATTATTTAAAATATAATTAAACTTTTAATTATTATTTAAATTAATAAGACGAATATGTGAAGATATTTTAGTATTCTTCTATGTATGTTTTTTTAAAAGTGGATAATACCATCTGCCATTTTTAAATGAAACAATGTATAATTTTTAATTATTGGGCTTATTGCCAGTAAATGTTTGACTGTATTTGCATAATTTTACAGATGTGTAGACTAATAAAAGGTTGTGTCTATGTGAAGATGTTTTAGTGTTCTTCTGCATATATTTTTTAAAATTAAATTTAAAAATATTTTCATTTTTATATGAAAAATAAACAAAACTTTCTGAAATAAAATATAACATTATTATTTTGCAATTTAATAAATATTAACTAAATATTGTTATTTTATTCACTGACTCAGTTCCATTACTTTCATCTTATCTTTTCTTTAAAAAATAAATTAAAGTTTTATATGATTATCTTTCAACAAAAGATAAACATATGGAGTTTTAATTTATTAAAAATTTTTGAATTATATAAACAATTAATTATGTGATCATAGTTTTACATTTTTATGTATTCACATCTATGAAAATATAGTCTTACTGTAGTATTATATTAGTTATTTTACATAATACTGATCAAAAGATATTTTTCACTAAAGACAAATCAGATAAATAAGATCTATAAATCTTATAATATAATCAAGATGGGTTGATGATAATGATAATATGCGCAGAGCCTAAATGGTTAGGAGTTGAACGTTGAAATTTGGTACACAGAATACTTCATGAGAATGCACACTAAGAAAGAATTTTTGAAAATTCCCCTACCCCAATGAGGGAGAGGGAGGATGCCCTGAAGAACTTAGCTTCTACTATACTATTTTAGATGTGGTTTTTTGCATTTTTGTGGGAAAATCAAATATATTTTTAGACCCATCTAAAAATTCTCTAGTTAGTCTCAGAAGAGGGAAAACCTAATTCTTGTAGGTAAGA